TACCTCGGATCCATTCTATCTTTTCGAGTATGTTCTCTTTTGCAGCTCCTTTAAAGGTTTTGATTATGTTTTACAGACGCCTCAATATAAACGACTCCGTTGTGCAAAAGTGCCTTTCTTGTTGCGAGACCATACATCGCGAGGTAGGATATGTTTTTGCGACTATTCTATATCGTTGTTTGTTTTTGCACACTTGTACTATTTATCTACTTAAGCCTTTTCGACATTTAGGGTATCAGTGATGTTGGAAAATCTTATGTTGATAGAATGACCCTGATCAAATGGGTATTTGTATGTCTGCTTTTCAAACCTGCTGCTCTAAAGTCTGACTTTATCAAAATGCGTCAAATTGTGGAGTACTATTTTCGTGACGAATGGGTAAGCGATTGTGAAGAAAGCTTATACTGTTCTTACCCTTCTTCTAGGTGCTCCAATTAGGGTTGGGCCTAAATGTCAATCTTTTGGATGTATGGCAGCCCTACCGCGCTGCTTCATCAGCCATTAGCAGTCAGGTCGACGTTGCCAAAGCTAAAGATATGGCGGCTTACCATTACAATGCTTTGTCAAAACTGACCATTCCGCAGGTATGCCAAGATCTTCAAATTCGCCGTTTCAAAGTTTTCAATCATTACCTCAATTCACTTTGTACCAAATACACATTAGAGAATGTGAAGCGCTTTTGACGCTCCAATACATATTTTGCCACAATCTTGACATTTTCCTTAATCTCTGTGATTGTACACTTGAAGCGCTTGTATGAATGTTTTTAACATTAACATCACAAACATGTTTTTAACATCGATAAGGCCGCAGAGGTTGTTGTTTCTCTATACTAGATCGCACTGTTGCATCCGAGTGAGAAAAAATATAACTTTATTGAAAATTTTTCCAGGGCAAGATATCTCCCAACGACTTCGATGCCCACATCCGTCTTATCTCACAATATAACTCTTCACTGCGATGGTTGATTTTACATACTTGTGAGTTTGATCGGTTTAGTTTTTATCGTTGTTGTGACTACATATAGTAAAGCTCTAACAATTTGTATTACGGCCATTAGTCCCTCCTTGTCAAAAAATAAATAGTAAGGCACATTCGAGAAACTAATTTGCAGCAAAGACTACTTCAAAGAAAGCAGCGTCTTATGTGCAAGCCATTGACATATATCCACAATTCGATGCGCAGTCCCTAGTGCTGTTCCTTCGTGCTGCCAACTTTGAGATGGAGTTCTTTACGGTAGGGCATGTTGTTTTGAGAAAAAGCATTGAACATGTCTCTTTCAGGCATATAGAGATGCTTTGAAAAATAAAGAAAGCAATATCAAGAAAGTTACGGATGCGACGTGCTCCACCATAGCGGAGATGGCGCAGCTGTTTTCTCAAGATTTTGGTCCGCTGAACAAGGATAAGAAAAGTATGTTTCTCATGTGCAGTCCGGTTTCTTGTTTTGCATGTTTGTTTTCAGCAAAACTGCATGACTGGTTTTTGCTCATGAAGAAGACTTTGGAAGAGTTAGAGTTGAACGACAAGAAGAACGCGGAGTTTGTCAGCCAGGTCAAACGGAGAATTGTGCAGGTGTAAATCTGAATTTGTTTTTTTTTTCGCAAAATTGTTGCATATGTATCAGGTTGGCGAGATGCTCGACCTCGGTGGCAATCTCAGTGTTGCGCAGCATCTACAGAAGCTGGAGTCGCAGTTGGATACATTATCTGCTTTGTACAGTGTAAGGGAAGAAGAAGAGCAACGTGTGCAAAGATATGCCGACCCTTCATACATCTGGCCAATTTTGGGTGAGTGATCATTTTTTCATATTCATTTTCTATCATTGATGTTCTCTAGATGACTGGACTCCTCGCATTCAGCGAAGAATCTTGGAGTCATCGAATGTTCATGCTATCCGAGCTCTCGTCTTCAAGCTTTCCATTTCGATAGCCATGCTGTGTGAGCAGCTTCGTAATGAAGAGAGAAAAACGTGAGTTACTATACAGAACAGCTGAGATTTCGTTGTAAAGTTTTTCTAAACAAATAAATTGTCGTAATAATATGCTAAAAGGTCCATTATGTAGATAAGTCCATTGCTGCTTTTCAAAGTTAATCAGTGCCTTTACATTACTGACTGAAAACGTATACTTACA